AAATGTCTCTTGAGTATATGACATCGTTCTAATCAGACTGTAAACTCCTCAAGGAGTATTTCTCTGTATCCATGGTGGTGCACCCATCATGGATACCAGGCACCCATACCAGTTAACCTAGAGGTTTTTCTCCAAAATCCAATGATCAGCCTGCCTACCATGGAGTTAAGGGCCATATTCACTTTTCCTTACCACCCTTCTGGCTGAGACATGTATGAATACACAACATTTCCCCTAAAATAACATTTGTATCCAGCTGCATCATTACAATTTGATTTTGTAAAGCGTCAAAGGAGTATCTCCCTGAGGGAGACTGGTTGGCAGCCCAGGCAAGTCACCAAAGGCAGAATTTACCTTGGTGAATTCATCAACATTTAGGGGCTGGCCCTCACACACAAAGTAGATCAGTTTCTTGTGAGCAGATTCACACTCTTCAAGTGCACAAAGACTAATAACAGGAATACCAACTTATTAGCTTCCGCTGAGAAAAAACTGGCAAGAGACCAGGTACTTGGATTTTCCAGTCAACATCTCACCTGGGACATCAAATTATAAATAGAACAACAGAAATGTAAACAAGTTAGCTCTTAATGGTAATAAGTATATGAATTCTTTGGTTCGCATATACTTTCTACGTACACATAACAGGAAAAATAATCAGAAGGATCAAAGTAAGGGGGTCTATTCACAACACCTGACTTTTCATAGGGAGGAAACCCACTGGCAGGCATTTTAAAAACCTTAAATAAAGATATACGAAGGTCAGAAGATTGACTATCATAAAGACGTCGGTTTTCCCTAAACTGACATGCTGGGGGCGTGGCCAAGAGATGGAACCCTTGGTCTATAGGAACCAACTAAGATGAAACAAAACTTTTCACTTTACTATCACTCCCGCCCCAACCTGAAAATTTTGGCGAAGGAATATTCTCGGCTAACATCTAATGGCAAAAATCCAATCATTAAGAACAAGAATTGCCCTCCGTGGGTTAAAATTGATAAGGGGAAAAAAGCTTCCGCTTCCTCTCCCCTCCCGGCCAAAGAATCCCATAAGCACCACTGACAAGCAAGTAAAACCTTTCCGAGAGAACATGATAAGGCCGTGAAGCGTGACAGTCCACGCAGTCCTGTCACGGAGTGGAGTGAGATCCTCCACTTCGCAGGCTAAGAGGCCGCTGGCTCCCGCACCGCCCCGCCGCCGGCCTAAGACCTTCCAGACCGCGGCGCCGCCTCCCTCCAAGCCCAGCGCTTGATGCTGAAGCCCGGCCTCAGTCCACTCCCCACTTCCGAGTTTTGTCCCTCAGACCTCTTTTTCTGCCTTGCTTTCCCTCGGGAAAGAAAACGACGGAGATTAATCGCGCGCAATTACTCACCGAGTTCACGGCGTCCTGCAACTGCGTGAGCCGATCCGCCATGTTCCTCCCGCAAACAAACAAACGCGAGAGTAGCTGCTCGTACGCAATTGGGCAGCTCTAGGATGCGTCATGGCCAATCACAGGGCTGCGTTCTTGGAGTGGGTGGAGTCAAGCCTTACTCCACGCCCGACGCGGAGTGGGCGGGACTTTCCGGAGGCCTACTTTATATGGACTACTTCCACCTGGGGCGACTCAGCTGTGCGCACGTTCAGTAACGCGGGGACTGTACAGGGCCCACTTTGCTTGGGGTGCCAACATACTTTCTCGTGGCTTTTAGGTGTTAAACACTTTACAGAGATTGTTGGATTATGCGGTTTTTAAAAGTAATTTTCCCTATCCTCCCTTGTATCCATTTATAAACATCGCCTTGAATACTTGCATGGACCACAAAACGTACACAGCAAACAACTAAAGAATACTTGGGAGTCACGGTACCGACTTGAGTGTCAAGAAATCCAAATTAAAATTCAGCAAGTAATCAGGACGGGCTGTGTTCGGGTGCCCCTCCGTTGCTTTTGGGTGCGGAACGCCTGGATACGTATTTAAATGTGGGTGTGCTGGGGCAGCTGACACACGTGAGATGGAAAGTGTCCAAAACTAGTACTAAACTGAGCTGTAATGGCCGTGTTGGAAGATTATGGAAAACATAGGTCTTGTGGGCAAAAGTGAGAGGAGGAAGACGGTAAGGTAAGAGGTAAGGTGTAATCAGCATCTCTTGTTTGTGTGACTGCGAGAAACTCGGTAAGGAACAGAGCAGGGTTGGTGGAGAAGAGAGTGGAAGTTTCACAGTGGGAAAGAGGAGAAGGTAGTGGGAAAAGAGGAGGTTCCTGGAAAATAAGCCAGGTGCGTAGGTGCGGTATGTTCAGTTTTAAAAAAGATAAGCTGTGCAATTTAGGCTTAGACTTGGTACCTATTGAGGGTTTCAGTGTGAAGAGTGATGGTCGAAACTTGGTATTTAAGGAAAGTTAGAGCTGGGGATAGTCTGGAAAGAAATGAGGCTGGAATCAGCTAATGACTGCTTTGTGGACTTGAGACAAACTCACGGACCCTCCTCCTCAGGCTGATTATCCCTGATTACCCTCCTGGGGTTGGGGGAGGGTGGAAAAAACTCTCCGTTGGGAACTTGGCTTGTGGGTTCTACTCCAGGCCTAGCTGGGAAGCTCCACTTCTGCTTCACCACCACATGACCCCACCTCCAAACAATCGACAAAACTGCTGAGACCTAATTGGGAACCTCTACAGGTGAGGCACCTCCCCCCTTAATGGGATTATTGAGAGAATTCTAATTTGTTTTAACTGTAATATGGGGTAAGCTTGTGACCCTCTCTTCTCACCCCCAGCTGAGAGTGTTCCTTACTGAATGTCTGCCACGTGCCAGAAAGTTATGTGGGTGCTGGGTTTGCAAAGATGAATAAGCCAGGGGCTCACAAGGAGGAGGGGTCTGCAGTTATTCAAGAATGAGGTGAGTTGGGCCTAGACTAGGGTGTTGAGCCTGAGAAGAGAAGGCTAGTTTTGAAGGAAAAATTCACACGGATTGGTGCCTGGCTGGATACAGAGGGATGAATGACAGCACCCATGAAGGGAGAATACTAAGTTTTGTAGCCTGATTGAAGAGAATTTGGGCACTTGGGGTAGAACCACTCTGAAGCAACTCCTATTACAACCCAACTTCCATCCTGTTGTCCTGTCGTTACGTTCCTTACAGTTTTCAGTAGCTCCACAGAGACTTCAGGTTGATGTTCAGCCATTTCTGCTTGGGTTTCAAGGTTGACCATAATCTGGCTCTAGGAAACAGATTCCTGCCTCCACGTGCAATAGTTTTCTGAGTGAAATAATCACTTCAGATTATTCAGCCACAGCCCCTGAAAACTTTTGTTTTTCCTGCGCTTCTTAAGCCTCTTCTGGCCATGGACCCCTAAAGAATCAGATGAAAACTGTGGACCTTTTCCCAGACCAGGCTCTCAAAATTTTGCATACATTTTCAGGGGTTAATGAACCTCTTGAAGTTGTGGACTTCAGGTAATAATCCACCTGCAAAATACAGTCTTATATGTGTAGCTCAGGATGCCTCAACAATGGCTCTATTGACGTTTGAGGCTGATTATATTCTCTGTTCTGAGGTGCTGTCCTGTGCATTGTAGGATGTTTGTCAGCATCCCTGTCCTCTACTCACGAGATGAGAGTAGCAACGCCCCCCCACCCAGTCGTGACAACACAAAATATCTCCAGATATTCCCAGATGACTCCTAGCAGGTGTGGGGCAAAATTGCCTCCAATTGATAACCACTCAATTCTTTACCTTTATCAAAACAATTTCTTTGCTGTTATTTAATTCACACTCGATCTTTTAAAGTTTTAATTTTAATGTAAATTTTATGAATTACTAGATTCCACATGGACCCCTTCTCTCTCATGATTTTGACTTTTTTTTTTTTTTTTTTTTTTTT